GAAGAACACACACACAAAATGTACCTGTAACCAATGGATACGCTTTCTGCAAGATGTAATGAAAGATGATTTTTTTGTGTGTGTGTTCTTCATTAATAAACACAATAAAAAAATTTAAAAAAAAGAAGTCACTTTTTTGCAAACCTTGTGAAAAAGATGCCAAAAATAGTTTTGTGATATTTCATAACTGAGCTTTCCCATGTATAAATGGAACTGGTCCCTATTTAGAGTTTACTGCTTCCATCATTCACTTCCAAAAACATCAGTTCCTGCAATCAGATCAATACACATTGATGCCAAGTTCCTGAAATATCATGTCCATTCCAAAATCGTTTCATGGTTGTGAAAAATGAGGAAATTGGCCCTGATAATATATAGCGATACTTATTTATTTCACATGCCTGAAGTGATCAAACAGTTCATGAAAAATGGTTATTGATGGATTATAAAAAAAAGTTATAGGACATCTCTGCATTCTAGTTTATGTCACAAACCAGAAGTTATTATTGCTTTCAACTGCATGGCCTTTCCATAACTGTGCCAAGAATTCTGACCACTAGAGTCTGATCCAGTGCGGCCCTTGCCATGCTCTATATTTTCCTGTTAATTATTAAATTTTCCAAAACACCAGAAGGCAAGAGAAGAATAAATGCATGGAAACTAATCAAAGAGAGAAGCAATCTAGAACTAAAAAGAAATTCCCTAACAGTGAGGACAATTAATCAGTGGAAGGGCTTGTCTTCAGAAGGTGTTCCATTGCTGGAGGCTTTTAAAAAGAGACTGAACAGTCATTTGTCTGAAACAGTATAGGGTCTCCTGCTTGAGCAGACGGTTGGACTAGAAGACCTCCAAGGTCCCTTCCAACTCTGTTACTCTTATGTTAAATGTAACAAGAATACAATAGTCCAGAGGTTCTCCTATGTGGCCCAAGAGGCATGGAGAGGCTCCTCTGGAGTACAAGGGTCTCCCTGGTCTCGACTTCCTCCACTGGAGACAATGGATCCCTCCCAGCTCTGCCTGGGCCATTACAGGTGCCCCCAACACGAGTGATGTCAAGCTGGCCATGCCCACTGCAGCCACGCCCACCCAATCACACCCACTTCCCCGCCCCCCAAGGTCAAACACAACCCTGATGCAACCCTCAATGAAATTGAGTTTGACACTCCTGGTATAGAGTAACAATTATCTTATTGCTGGATGAGTTGCCTAACTGCAGCGCTAGCATGCAGAAAGTGAGGGAGATTCTATCACTAATAATAAGTTCCTGACTGCAGGAATTCTAGCAATATGTTGTGTGTGATCAAACGGAAGCTTACATGGAATACTATACATTTGACATTGCATGCATCCCATATTTCCATGATGTGAAGTTTGATAAAGTGTGTGCATATATTTTTAACCTGGATTTTAGAATAATGGTGCTAAAT